GATGAAATGTTTATAGGTTGCTGTTTGATTTGTAACAGTATGAGTAATGATAGTAATGATGTAAGATTACATAATAGCGGTGTGAATTACTGTCGTACTAATGTACAGCTGATTTATTGATGAGATGTTATTAATGAAGTTGTGTTTGATAATTTTATGATGAATAAATGATTTTTGACGAATGAATGATGTTTGACGAATGAATGATGTTTGATGAATAAATGATGTTTGATGAATTATTATGAATGATATGAGATGTTTGATGAAGAGATGTTGAGATGCTTTTGAGATGTAGGCCTTTGGCCAATGATGATGTTATATTGAGATGTTGTTAATTGTGGTGTTGTTATTACATTCATGATTGTGTCGCATACATTGCATTTTGAGATGGAGCTTATACTCGTTGAGACGACCTTTATTGGTGAATATTGAGATGAAGGCTTACGCCTTGTTGATGCCTCTATTAATTGGCAAGTTTTTGAGATGGGAGTTCTGCTCCAAATGGTACCACATGCATTTGCATAGTATTGAGTCACATTATATGATTGTATAAAGAAGTGTGTATTAATGTTTTGATTGTGTATTATTGTCGTGATTATTGTTGAGTATCAGATGAGAAGTGGTGATGTTATGTGATCTAATTTAATATATTAATTATCATGCGCTTTATTATATGTTAGATATCTCACCCCTTATGTTGGTAACGTGCAGATAATCGAGAGTGAAGGATGTATACCTTCAGTAGTTCGAGTCGGTGTCATTGCTCTGATATGTAACACTCGGGGGGATGAACGCTTGTTGCTTTTGATTGTTGATTATTCAGTTGTTGAACTTTAAGCTGATTATTGTTAAGTATTTGTTGGTTTGAAGTTGTTATAATGATGATAGAGATGTTATTAAGAATTTCCGCTGCGCAGATGTTGAATGACTTAATTAAAGATGTCATGACGATGGTTCATCCGATGTTTTAAAAGTGTTATATATCCACGATGAGTGCAATGAATTTTGATAGAAGAATTTGTGGCATCCCGATTCGTTTGCATGAATGATTTTTATAACTCTGATTTATTTATATAATCTGCCGGGGTAGAATTGGGGTGTTACACTATACATGCCGAGGGGCACGACTATGCACGCTGAGGGGCATAACCCATAAGTCGTTATCTCCTTTTAATTATTTCATGTGTCTTTCATGTGTGTCTGTTGCTTTAGTTTTTAGTTACAAAAATGGAGGTAGTAGAGTTAGAAAAGAATGAATAACAACAAAGGCTATTTATTAGTAACAGAAGTGAACAATATGTAGATTAGCATAAATATAGCAGGTAAGATTAATAAGTAACAAAGTTAGTAAATGTTAGCAGAAAGTTAGTAATAGCAGACAACATAATGATAATTGTGAGTATTAGTAATGTATGGAAAATAACATTAGTAGATATTTAGCAAAATGACCTCAATAGTAGTACGGTAGTAATAGCAGAAAATAACAGAAAATGCTTTTATAAATTAAAATAGCAATAAAGGTAAATTAGTGTCAAAAATTAATAGCTTCATTGGTTCAACAAAAAATGATTGGTCAGTGGAATACTTTAGTGGAGTTATATTAATATGACTTGATCGATAATAGTATCGATACATATAAGTTGATGTGATGTTGTTGCTATTAATTGTTGAAGTTGTAGGTGAATAAATTGTTGTATTGCCTTTATTTATTAGCTAAGACTAAGTTGTAGGCTTGTGACCAATGTTGAATTAAGTTGAATTATTATTGTTGTTATTACGTTCATGTTGTTAATGCATACATAGCATATCATGTTGGAGCTGATGCTTGTTAAGTTGGCCTGGATTAGAAAATATAAAGTTGAAGGCTTATGCCTTGTTGATGCCTCTATTTATTGGCTTATTTCTAAGTTGAGAGTTCTGCTCCATTGGTATCACATGCATATTTGAGTTGTTGTGTTGATGAATTAATCTTTATATTTTGTTATGATTGTTGTTGTTTATAAATTATGAAGCGATGACTTTGTATGATCTAATTCTGATATATTATTTATTGTACATCTGATTATATTATTTGATATATCACCTCTTTTGTTTGAATGTTACCCATATGTTGGTAACGTGCAGGTAATCCAGAGTGTAGGCCGTTTACCTTCGTTAGTTCGAGTTAGTATCGTCGCTCTGATACGTAACACTCGGGGGGATGAACGTTTGTTGCTTCATTGTTGTTATTACTTCCGTTGCTGAATTTTAAATTGATTTACTAAGTACTATGTTGTTTTTAGAGTTGTTTCCAGTTGGACAAGATGCTATGTCTTTTTAAGTTGGATGTTATGATTTCCGTTGCGTAGTTATGAAAGTTGTTGGTTTCAAAAGATTAATTTATGTCGTTGTTGGTTCATCTAATGTTAATGTGTTATGTATCTGTAATGAATGTCGTTGTTTTAAGTTGAGATTGTAGCATCCTGATTTAGTTGTTGAACTTTTATAACTCTGATTTTTTAATAATTGTCGGGTAGAATTGGGGTGTTACATAATCACTGTTCTATAATGGTGGGACATGCCACTACCAACAACAACATTGACGATTAATGAGCCATAACAGAGATCCAACTACCAATCCAATCACGTGGAACACCAGGACCCAAAAACAAGACTCAGCCCTCTGCGCCAATGAATACACCAAATCACATCTCCCCTACAAGCCTTGTGCTAGAGGGATTGAGGACTGAAATTTCCTACCTTAACCACATCACCCTACATACCTCATGCTTGAGGGAATTTAGACTATAATCTCTTACCTTAACCACACAACGCTTACAAGCTTCATGCTTAAGATATTTTGGACTAGAATGTCTTACCTTAATCACATCACCTTTATAAGCCTCATGCTTGAAAGATCCTGGACTAAAATAACTTTGGTCAAACCAAAAGAGCTATACCCATCAATTCTCTAACATGTAAATAACATGGAGGGTAATCGGGCACGAAAAGAATGGGTCATGTGCCAAACATGTGATCCAGCCAGACCCAATAATCCTTCATTGTAATTCATGGGAGAATGTGTCAAGCCATATGTTAAAGGAATAACTGAAAAGCCTGAGACTCGGACTCAAAGGTTAATCACATTTTTTATTATTGAGGATGACTCATCCATTTCACTCCCCTTATTAGATTAAGGGCGCGTGACAAACATGAGAACCGATTTTCACAATGACTAATAAATCTAGTAAACACATTTATAAATATCTCAAACATGTATCTCGATTATTAATTCATTTTTTATCAATCAAAATATATTCTTTCTTACGCATCTTATCGCAAACATGGTAACTCCGGTTGTATATGGTGCAAGTACAATATTATAAGTTTTTCATATAAATTATTGATTTTATTTATAAAAAATATAACAATTCAATGTAAATATGGTCAAACCAAAAGAGCCCGACCCATCAATTCTCTAACATGTAAATAATATTGAGGATAATCGGGCACGAAAATGATGGGTCACATGTCAAACATGTGATCCAGTCAGACCCAATAATCCTTCATTGTGATTCATAGGAGAATGTGTCAAGCTATATGTTTAAGGAATAACTGAAAAGCTTGAGACTCAATCTCAGGTTAATCACATTTCTTATTGTTGAGGATGATTCATCCATTTCACTCCTATTATTAGATTAAGGACGTGTGACAAACATGATAACCGATTTTCACAATGACTAATAAATCTAATAACAACATTTATAAATATCTCAAACATGCAAGTGAATTATTAATTCACTTTTTATTGATCAAAATATATTCTTTCTTACACATCTTTATTGCAAACATGATAACTTCGATTGTAAAGGTGTAAGTATGATATTATAAATTTTTCATATAAATTATTGATTTTTTTATATATAAAAAATATAAGAACTCAATGTAAATATGATCTATATATCTTTGAATAGATATAATAATGGTAAGTAGGTCAACTTGCAAGTGAGTCACACCTCCACTTGAAACAACAACAGGAAAAGGAATGGGTTTATTCTCCATAAATGATTTTTTAAGTGACTCTGCAATAGGCCTTTGCCCATGTTGCAAATTGCAACTCTACTGTTAACAAAATGGAATCTAGCTACACAATGATGTAGCATGCCATGTAGATGACATATAATGAATATTAAGACTAAATAAGAGTCAAGACACACATAAAATATCACAAAATAGAAAGTAACAAATTAAATATCACAATATGAAGAGACCACACTTTAGACACTTGGACAAAAACAAAAAGGTTATCAATTTGGGAAATATCATTAACAAATAACATTTAGCTATTTAGAGACTAAACCAAATTATTATTATTTCAAAAAAAATCAAGTTGAAAATAAATTTCACATATTCGATATAGTTTAATGAAAATATGACAAAATTTGCAAGGAACATATACTTTGCTTCAAAGCCCAAAAAATGAAATTGAATATTCTTTCCCTTCCAAAAGACATAACCATAAAAGTCATTATGAATCTACACAAAAACCAAACACATACACCTTCTTGTTCCCTATTGACACAAGCAATCTAATGTAAGAGAATTCATATAACCAAACCAACCAATAGATTTCCTTCATATGGCCCATCACCATCCCATACCAATAAAAGTGCTTCCTCTATAAACCAAAACATAACCAACAAAACAAAACCTCTCTCTCTCTCTCTTATTTTTTCTTTCAATATCTAAAGAGTAAAAGCAACTTCAAAATTGTTGCTTGTAGAAATCCATTGAAGGAAAGTAGAAAACAATCAAAACCCATATTGAAAGTTTTGATTTTTAAAACATTAATATAGTATAGTGATGAAGTGGAAGTAGAGAGAGAGAGAGAGAGATTCATATGAAGAGTAACGAGTATTGTGGAAGAAAGAGTCAACCTGGGAAAGCCGGGAGAGTTTTTGTTGGAAGGTATATTGGATTGCATCCATGAAATCACAGTTGCACTTTCCTTTCCCAATAGAATGAGTGATTCTCTTTACAAAGTTGATACAACTCCACGTCTTGCTCAATGGAGAATCGAAAACTTGGCTTCTTGCACTTATCGCAAATCAGATCCTTTCAAGATTGGAAACTGGAACTGGTCTCTCTCTCTCTCTCTAAAAAGTTTTCATTTTTAATCATAGTAATGAAATTTGAAACAGCCCACATGGCTAAATAGATTTGATTATGTTATAACATGTTTGATATGTCATAAAGTTTGGATTTTTACAAGACCCTTTATGAGTTTTGTGAGTGTGTGTTGGCTTATACTATGTTATGTTCTTTTGTTTTTGTGTGAATTAAGGTATTTGTCGGTGGAGAAACACAAGGTTGTGTTTGTTAAATTGTTTCCTGAAATATCAAATGTCACAAGAGACAATCCTCCAATTGCGTCTTTTATTATGCGTGTGGTTAGTTCTGCTTTTGGAGATCGCAAAGCTCTCACACATCCAGGTAGTTTTTTAGATTCTGATTTTTTTTTGCATTTTTTGTTGTTTCAACAGTTTCTTGTGTTGATTCATTTCTCTTTTTTGATATGATGTAGAGATTAAGGACAAAGTGATCAAGAGCAACGAGGATTTTGTTTGGTCACTTGAGGTTCCACTGTCTGGAAAATTCATTATTGATGTTGATTTCCTTGATTTGAAGATTGCATCCCCAGATGTATGTGCTTAACGCCTATTTCTTTGTTTTGTATCGCCGACACCTCTGATAAAAGACGTGTCCGTGTCGGATATAGACACACCTGCACTGACACTTGTGATTAGTTTGATTTTTCATATTTTCTATTATTACCAATATCATTGTGTCTGTGTCGTGGTCGTGTCCCGGGTGTCTGCTTTTTCTATGGTATTCATTAAAAATGATAATCATTTAGAAACAATTGGAATGAGACTGTTTAGCTATAATCACTTTGGAGTAGTAATTGGATTTAGTAATCCACTTTTTATAATCATGTTCATAATCACCAATGCTAAAGCAAAATGATTAGTGATAATAGATTAGTACACCTAGTAGGGGAGGTTTCATTATCTTGATAAGCACCTGATGAATGTAACTACATGTGTCAGTGAACCCGACACCGGACACAAGTACCTTGTTTGAAATGTTATTTTTCAATGCATTACAGGGCGGAGAGCCATGCTCCATATGGGGCGGTGAAGGATTTACACAAGAGAGATCGAATGCAAAAGCGCTAGGGTCGCTTGGTAAAATGCTAAGAAAAGGAATTCACACAGATATAGCCATCAATGCTTCTGATGGAAGTATAGGAGTTCATAGAGCTGTTCTTGCTTCTCGGTCACCAGTCTTCCAAAGCATGTTCTCGCACGATCTTAAAGAGAAAGAGTTGTCAACCATAAACATCACAGACATGTCAATCGAAACATGTCAGGCTTTTTTCAACTATCTTTACGGGATCATAAAAAACGAAGAATTTCTCACTCATAGACTCGCCCTTCTACATGCAGCTGACAAGTACGACATATCTGATTTGAGAGAGGCCATTCATGAAAGTCTTCTAGAAGATATTGATACGAAGAATGTACTCGAGAGGTTGCAAAACGCGTCGCTATACCGGTTGACGAAGCTGAAAATGAGCTGTATTCAGTATCTTGTTAAATTCGGTAAAATATTTGAAATTCGGGATGATTTCAATACCTTTCTCCAAAGTGCAGACAGGGATCTCATTTCTGAAGTCTTTGCCGAAGTTCTTGGAGCCTGGAAAGGATATTGAAGATCTTGCAACTTCAAATGATTTGTCTTATTAAATATGCCAAAGAAATAGATTATTTGAAATTGTTGTGAAAATGTGAAGGATTTGCTTTGATGAACTTGATTCTTTTGCTCAATTGTATTTTTTTCTCCTTATTTTCTTGTACATATTTATGTCATGCTGTTAAATATATATACCACAAATGTATTGTTTACAAAAAAACATGTAAATTAAACAAAAAAAGAACATATATTTGTGAATGCAAATGATTATGAATTCTGATATACTTGTTTGTTATGTTCTATTTTTGTGCTCAAGAGATTCTTACATTTGTAGTATTGTACATAACAGTACAATATTTAGAAGTTAGTACATTCTGATATGATCAAGTATTCTGATTTTAACTTAATCGGGTCGAAACTCTTAAGTGAATCTGAACCTGTACTAAAACTGTCTTCTGATGTGCACATAATACAAAAGGAATGTAGAAGCAATTTGAAACTTGTCGACCAAGTTACATCACTGTGAAACTTCAAGATTTTCAAAAGACCAAAGGTTTTGAGATGCAATGAGCTGATCTCAGATGGTTCAGTTTCACATATCACAACAACATACCACTCCTTCCACCTGGTTTCTATAAGTTTATCATAAAGAATTTAGAGCATTATGTTGTGGATTTCGATTTTCTCTGGCCACAAATTCACGCATTCAACGCAGCACTGATCATTAGATTGAGATTGGACGGTTTAGAAATCAAACATTAAAATATGTACAAGGTTAAAAACACACTCATGCCTAAAAAAATTAAGCGTGCGAGCCTGGAAGTCAAACTCGAGAATGAACTTTCTCTCTTGAATATTTAGTAAAACTGAACATCTAGAACGTGAGTATAAATGGCGGGAGATGCGATAACGAAAACAATTTGATAGCAAGTGACCCGACATATTATAGATACACTCTGATATCATCTAAAAAAATGTGGTAGAGACTAACTTAACCTTGCAAAACTTACCTCCACTAATAAACATATATTACCATATTGAATTGAAGGGAATGATGAGAAGAGGACTTTTTCTTAATATATCACACATCTCTTGATATCAAAGGCAAGAAAAAACATTCCATTGTCTCCCACAAAACTAAACACATAATGGCTAAGAAGAAACCTCCACTTTGATTAAAATATAAACTTTCTTGCCCTGTAATCAACATGGTAACTTCAAACGGGGACCACTGAGTTTTGGTCACATAACATGAAACAAAAGGCAACATATTTTACTTTGAAGTAGACATAAAGTTTAGCATCAAAACCAAAATCAACAAGTATATAACACATGAAAATAAAACAAAAAAACAAGACAAAAGGGGTGTGAATTGTGATTAACTCGAAACTTTGAAGAATAAAACAGCACATAGAATAATTTACCTTTAACAGTAAGAGTATTGGAAAGTGTCATCAATCCATGTTTTCAACAGAAGTAGTTTAGTTAACTTAGAACTTGGAAGAGAAAACAGAATGAACATGTGAAGTTAAAGAAGTAATTATGCTTTATGTGATACATGCTCTGGCAAGAATATGGAATATTACTAGGATCTTCCTTTTGCTTATGATATGATACGTGACACACTTATTTAATTATCATATACGTGACACACTTATAATATGCTTTTTTTTAAAGGACTAAAATTTAATTACTATTTGATTTATTTTACTTTTTTATTTTTAATAATAATAATAATATGTATAGACACGTGGCAAGATTTGGATGGAGTGATTAATCTAACGGGTGAGATTGAGCCAAAGTTCTCAGAGATTAGGGTTTAAGGGTATCAACGAAAACAAAACAAAACCCAGTCAAGTCTGAGTTTTTTCTTCGTTTTTTAACCCTGCAAATTTCAAATACGCCTCCCTCCTCCGTTTACCGTTATCCTCAGGTTTCTCTATCCACGATTCTTAGGTTTTTTTTTCTAACTGCTTCTTGTTGGTGTTTATGATTCTAATTTGATGATAGTGTTTTTCATGTTTTGTGTTGAGACATAGATTGAGCTTTTCAGATTAAACTTTATTCTTTTGTGTTACATCTCTAGATTTTTAATCATGTCGGAGGAAGAGAACTCAATGTCGGAAATTGAAAATCAAGAACAGAATGGAGGAGTACCTGATTACATTATGGACTTGGAAGATGTTCCATCAAAGCTCCCTTCACATCTTCAAGTTCTCAAAACTCGCGTTATTTGCAATATGGATGCTCCTCAGCATGTATCTATCTTTCCCTTTATTATTATAACTATCATAATCCCGACACTCAGTTTACAACACGTTTTAGCATTTGAATTTTCACTCTTAGAAGGTTTACTATTTGTAAAATTTATGTTAGCTATACATTTTTTGATATATGACTTAATCAAGGACTTATCTTTATTTTTTAATTGTCTTTTTATGAACGGTTGGATATTTTGTTTTGTTTGGTATTATGCAGACAGATACCCTACAATATTCTGGTGTTTATGCGGCATTAAGAGTTGATAACAGTGTACGGTTGGATAGTTTCTGCAATAACTTCAAGGTTGAAGTGAAGCGGTTTACAGATGATGACATTGAGTTTGACATGATTGGTATTGATCCAGCAATTGCCAATGCTTTTCGAAGAATTCTCATAGCAGAGGTGATATATTTCTCATTCCCCCATTATTTACAGTACTGTGATGTCATATTTGGTTTTGAATATACAGTGGAATCTATTAAGTTTAAATGCTTTAACATGTTATCAAACTCTAGTTTTTTTTTGTGTCAATGTTCACTTTGTAGTTTGTATTGAATATTTGATGTTTGATTCCAAAGTAGATGGATGAATATTTGAATCCAAAGGGTTTCTTCAACTGGTTGTTTAGAATGCTAGCATTACATTAGGAAAATTTTGAAATAGTGAAAATTTGGCCTTTCTTGTGGTGGAAGAATATTTAGGTTTTTTCAACTGGTTGTTTAAAATGCTAGCATTAGGAAAACCAGTGAATTTTGGCCTATTGTGGTGGAAGTAGTTCAATTATCATTCATTTTTGTAGATAGCTATTGACCTATTACCATACACTAGTATGTTTTTGGATGAGGATTTCTTATGAAACTCTTTTGTTATACAATGCATTATCATTGCACAGAGATGACCGGGTTAATTTGCATTTTTTATCAAATACTATTTTGTGGAGATGATTGCTTATGCAATTATTTTTAACCGAACATGCCACCTTCAACAAGAAGAAACTTCTCTAAAATTTAAATTGGTCATAAGTCATAGGAGGCTCATTTAGGTCTGATGTTTTGCTCAAAATTTGGAAGCCTGCAGCCTAGAACTACTTCTGCTATGCATAACATTTTATACTAATTTCATTTTCATCTTTATGTGTTGCTCTTTGTACTTTGGCTTTGAGTTGGTTATTACTTATAAACAAGACTCTATTCCCATCCTATTGGAGGTAATCAAATTTTGATTTTCTCCTCTTTTTTTTTCCAATCTAGGTTCCAACAATGGCTATTGAAAGAATATATATTGCGAATAATACATCCCTCATACAAGATGAAGTTCTTTCCCATAGATTGGGCCTCATTCCAATTGATGCTGATCCCAGGCTATTTGAATATCCAGGTCTTATATCTACACTAACACTTACAGTTTTGTATTTCTCATTCTTGCTTATATGACTTTCTTGTGTGATAATTGGAAATATTATGCATGTTGTTTGGCGGACATCCCTTATTATTTTCTCTCTTTTTATATAAATAGACAATGCGGGAGGTGAAAACAATGAAAAGAACACCATCGTTTTCAAACTACATGTTAGTTGTAAAAAGGGTCATCCCCGTATTACTGGTAAATGACCTGAAACTCTTGCTTAATAGTATTTATGCTGCTATTGATATCTTCTTCAGCTATTTAACTCCCTGTTTGATTATATTACAATATAAATACAGTGAAATCAGATGCACTGAAGTGGTTGCCTAACGGAAGTGAGCTTATTGCTGATAATACCAAACCAAATGCTGATTCAAAGGCAAAAACATTTACATCTTTTAGTTGCAGTCAAGGCTCACGTCCTGAATTCTCCAAAAAACCACCTGGTCCTTATAATTTGGATATTATATTAGCTAAACTTGGACCTGGTCAGGTAACTCCCTCCCTCTCCCCTTTCTTTCCTATGACCACCCTGCATTCTGTACTTTGTGTTGATGAAGAAACTAAGCTATAAGTCTGGTGAACTTTAGAACTAGAAAACAGGAACGTAATTTGCTATTAATCCAATAGGCCATCAAGGTTAATAATCCAAATTCTGTTGAGTTGGAACTGAACATAGCTCTACCGAGCTTAATCCAACTCCAGCCCCTATTTTCCCTTTATTCCCCTTAATTTTGAATAGTGATACTATGTATGTACTACAGTATATGTTATGATATTGGTATGGTACAGCTGGACGAGTATTTATTATGCACATACTGTGTTTAGATACCATGTTACATGTTCAAACATCATTTGTGTTAAATACTTTCACGAACTTACAAGCCGGGCTTATGGAAATTCCATGAATTTATGTGGTCTAATGAATTTGAAAACCTCAGTATGAGTTATATTTGTTTTTGCAATCATGTGATTAGTTATGTCCTCATATAGAAAACTTGAAATTGTACTTGCTAGTTACTACTGAATATAATAGTTGCTAAACACATGTTTTTCTAGGAAATTGAACTTGAAGCTCATGCTGTTAAGGGCGTTGGCAAGACACATGCAAAATGGTCTCCGGTTGCCACTGCTTGGTATCGAATGCTTCCCGAGGTAGGAAATATCATTGATATTGTTTTTGCTTCTCTCACATTAACAGACTGAAAAGTGACAAAACCTGACATTTGTGTGCTTGGCTTTTCTTCTCTAGGTTATACTCATGAAAGATGTTAAGGATGACTTAGCCGAGGAACTAGTAAGTAAATGTCCAGTTAAAGTCTTTGATATTGAAGATATTGGAAAAGGTAATTC